AAAAGCCAGGGCCCAGAACAACACACAGCGAGTACATTTGTAACAGAACCCAGAAATCAATACACATGACCAGATTTTCCAGTCCACCACGCTTATTTTGCAAAGGCAGCAGAGGTCTGGACGGGAGCATTCCCCATGTCAAGGGGACTCTGACGGCCAGAAGCTGTTGATGATGGCGTGGCTGCCTCGCATGCCAGTTGTCTTATCTCCTCACAGGGGAATGAGGGACAGCAGCAGGAGAGGAAAAGCTCTTGTGTCTTGTTTAACTGGAGATGTGCCCCACGGGAAGGGGGGGTGAAGGAGAAGCAGTGCTTGTATTAGGAGGATTCACAGAAAGCTTGAGTTCCTCAGAAAGCTTTGTGAGGCGGTTGTTAGCATTCCTCCATGCTGGAATGACCCATTTGGATTTTTTCTTCCACATTGCTTTCCAAAGCTGACACATCTTGGCAGTAAAATCTGCTGACTTTTCTGAACATCCAGCTGCCCAGCTGGAAGAGCTGCAAAATGGCTGCTGTGCATGCACTGACACAGTGTTGTGTGAATTAGGTGAACGTTGCATTTCACAGACTCATGAGGGTCAAGTTGGTCACCTGGCTGCAGCCTTTGAGACTGACCAGAGCCTGAAGGGTCCCTGTGCTGGTTCCCCTCATTGCTCACATGCTGCCTAAAGGTCTTGGGGATGTTCTGTTGAAGGTGGAGCTTTCATGACAGAGAAGAAATTTTATACCATGACAAAGAGTTGGAGGAAAACGCTCCTGCAGAATGTAGCTCTTCTTTTTCCTTTACTTGTCTAGACAGCCAGGATGCTTTGCTTTGTACATTGCAGTTTTGATGGATTTTAATCCCCAAGCTATTTTTGATTCCTGGTCACATTTGTGACATATACAGTCAGCTTTTTTTTCCTCCTTCAAGATGCATGCATCCATAGACTTGAATGGGTGTAGGAAAGATAAATGGCTAAGGGAAAAGGAAATTAGCCTGAATGTTCTTAGAGCACTAGCAAGGAGACTATATAAAGGCAGACTGTGTGACAGAGATAAAAACTAAATGAAAATTAAGGCTCAAGAGGAGGCCTGGCTGATGGGGGGAAGGAAGTCCAAATATTTTCAGATAATACCCAAAAGATGAAATGTAAAAAATGCTCCATTAAATCCTATTTCCCCCTTACTTTGATATTTTAATTTCCCATTTCACTTTCTTTCATAATTTCCTTCTACCATTCCAATGCTGCTTACTCTGTAGTGAAAACCTACTGTTGCAAATCATTTTCCCACAGACCCATCCTTTAGCCCAGAAATATTTGGTGTCTGTCCAGCTAGATTTTGATACCTATCAGAATACAGAGCTGGCAGAAGGGTTCACGTCCCTTTCTAAGATTGTAGCTGAAACATCAGTCAAAACAGCGAGAAACATGTGTTCTTCAGAAATAAAATGGCAAAAGTGGGATGTGCAAAATGCAGACATACTTTACATCATCGTGCAGCACTTAAGTATCTCTACAAACAGCTTCAGTTTTTAAATTATTTTCATTTTGTTGCAGGTTTCTTATGCAAAATGATAATTTGTCCATTCAGATTTATGTTGTTGCAGGCTTCAGTCCAGCAAAGCACTTAAGCACTCGATTAACTTTAAGCACATAAGTAGTCCCATTGCTGGATTGGGGCCATAATAGAGGAAAAGAATGTTTCAGTAGAAATTGCGCTTTTCGGGGGGTAGGTAGGTGTGTTTTTTGTTTTGTTTAAAGTGTCAACAGCACAGTTTATTTAGCTGCCTTTTAGACAGTAATCTTATTAGTAAAATTGGCAGGATTAAGAGGCTATTAAACAAAATCTGTGTGTTTTCACATCAGTTAAAATCTGTACTGTATTCCCTTGGAATACAACAATTCTGTTGTGCAATAACTGGATTTTATCACTTAAGATTGCATTAAAATACATTTATTAATCATTTGGCTGCTCTTGACTGGTGGGTTGGAAGCTGAAAAGGCAGAGAGGCTTTTCTGACTTTCAAAGAGTATTTTGTAGGATTTCTTGCAGTTTTCCTTCATCAATCAAACCACATTTGTTTACCAAGGAACATGTAGTCAATGTTAATTTTATGGACATTCTGCTGGGTCCAGAACGAAGCCATCTGTCCCCAAAGGTGGCTGGGGTGAGCAGTCTGTCCATCATGTGGGTGTGCTCCAGACGGTGAGGACAATGGATGTCGTCAGAGTTTGGCTGCTTTGTTTTCTTATTACAGAAAACTCACCACAGCATCTATTTCCTGCATCTTATCATTTTCAGATATGCATTTTTACCATGAAAAAGCCAGTAATCAATAAGATTAATTTTATTTGTATGTGGAAACCTCAGTGATCTTAATGAAAAAAAAAAAAAAAAAACTTTGTTAAAACCAAGAATTTAAAATGTGACAACAAACAAGCAGACACCAGAATTTTAAATCTAAGAATAGTAAAGTCTTCTCTGTCCCCTTAAAAATAAGCAAAATCAAATCTCCCCAAGGAATAAAGACTGTCTCTAACTATGTCATATACTTATTTGATAGAAAGGTTTCTGGTACTAATAGAATAAATAACCTGTTTGCTCAGAATTCACTTGTATTAACATTTATGGCAGTGATTTCCTTTTCATGTTTGTTAAAATACGAAGCTTTATATAGGTGCTGCTATGTTTGTACTAGAGATTCACTTACTCTGACAGCTGATATATTTGTAATTGTGATAGAATCCTGGCTTCAGTGCTCGGCCCTGCTCCTTTGATATAAGCAGGTGACTCCTAACATTTATTGATGGTTTGGGGGATGGTTTGATGGAAAAAGTTGAATCGTTGCAAAGTAATTCCTCAGGTCTTCTGAAGTTTATTATTGACTGCTTTGATCTTTGTTCTGCAGATGTAGAAATAACATTGCCTACAATCTGTAGGTGTTCTCTGTGCTTTTTCAACTAATTGTTTTGTGCATCTGACAAGATGCAAATTTACCCAGATCTGTCTACAAAGAGGCTTCTCTCCTGCCTGCTGTTTTTTGTAGAGAATAAAAAACTGCTATTTTTACCTACTTCTAAAAATTGATTCTGAGTGTGTCTCTCGACATGTCTGCCTGCCTTCACTGCTCCCTGACATCAGCAGCTACCTGCCTGTGCTGCAGCATCCATCCTGGCTGGCATGTGGGACTGAGCCAAGAAGGAGAACAGCTCAAGCTGGAAAAGAGCATTCCAAAGTGGGGAATTCCCTAGGCTGTACAGCAGAGAAGGAGTGTCACACACTGATAATGTTTCTCACACAGTCATTTACAGGCTGGTGGGCACAGCCTTGTGGTTACATAGACACACTCACTCTACCTTCTAAACCAGACAAAACTGGGCATCAGTAGAAGAGTAGCTGCAGTGGCCTGGAAACTGGGGAAATATGCAGGTGATCAGCTTGAGATGAGTTCTGCAATACAGTGACTCTTATTTGAGCTACTTCATTTTAAAAAGTGCCAATACCCTGATACTAGACAATGCAATTGATGAGTTTTGAAAGCTAAGGACAATGGAAGCTTCTTCCTTACATATGGACTTAAGAGGTAAATAGCTTCTCAGCCTCCTCAAGTATCATTTTACCTTTTTATAGGCTGCTCCTCATGCCCTAATACATTTATACAATGCTTATTTGTGAGGAGAATGTTTCTGAATCCTCAGGAGAATCAGAACATCTCATCACTTTTCATCCAACTTTAATTTAATTGTGTTGCTCAGGTATTTTTTGATGTTGGATCCTTTTCAGCAATCCTCTCTCTTAACAAAGCTGGATTTCCACTCGAATTTGATGTGAAAAATGCTTGAATAAGGAGTACCATGAAGACTCAGTTCTCATCCTTCTAAGTCATAAATAGTTATTAACTTGATTTCCGAAAGTGCTGAGCACCTAAAGCTCTTAGAAGAGATTAGCACAGGAACTGCTGATACCAAATTCCTCCTCTGGAGAGTACACACTCCCTCAAAGTCATTGAGAGGGGCTGGGCACAAGAAAACCACTTCTACACTCCCCTTCCAAACTGCTCAGTGGAATGAGGAAGAGAGATATAAGGACTGCCAACAGAGCAGGTGTGATTTCTTGCTTACTGGGAAATCTGCAGAGGGGCTGATATCACTGTTGACAGGGTGACTCTGATGTCACTGATGGCTCTGCGTGGTTCCTTGCACACCTTTCAGAGCCTGGTGGCTCCTCACCCCGTACTCATGGTAGATCACAGCACAGCTCCATTCTTAGGGGTTAGGATGCATCTGTTTCTTTAAAAATAGGAAATACCAATCCCTAACCTAACACTGAGGAGAAATATTCCAGAAAGTTTTTGAATGTGTAGCATTTGGTATTGGTAATTCTTCATTAAATATAAATTTCAAAACTATTTGGTTTGGATGTGAAATAATGGTTATTGCTGCTTATAGCCTGTAGATGTGGGTTAGAGCTCAGCACTCTTTTCTGGAAACTTGATAATATGACAAGACTGATGGTACATCTGGCATTCTAACTCTGGTGAAATAAATGAACAAAACTCACATTGGTTTTGTTCAATCACAAAATTCATGTTGAATTCAGCAGTGTCAGAAATTTAGTGCATATCACAGGCTGGCTAAAATAGAAAAGCCAACCTATTTTTGTTTATTTAACTACAAATTTCATGCTGGATTTCCCTCTTTTTTTGTTACTTGTTATACTTTCGCTAGCAATAAATTGTACCCATAAATAATTACACCCCAAGTTAAGTTAATTTCCAAAGGATTTTAATATTACTTTCATCAGAAATTTAGTTTTCAGATGCTTGTTGCAATGTAAAATATATTTACCTAAATAAATATGAACATATGTATTCATACATGTGAATGTATGAATTTTTATATGTGCATAGAAGTACATTATGAACCTAGATATTAGGGGGGTTTTAGAAAAGAATGTCACAACATATTCAAGGTGAAGTAATGTATTACTTTTTTTATTGCTTTAAAAAGCCTTGAATTCTTGTAGAATATGGTTTAGTGGGTCAAACATCCCCTTTCCTCTCATTTATCAGCCTTTTGATCTTGTGTCAGGTCTAAATGTTGGCATACTCAGGCCATAACAGTGTGCTGCAAGATCACAAAAAGGCACAGTTATATCTTTAAAAACTTATGGGCATCCTGGTGCTACATCCCAGCATAGCTTAGCAGATGTGGTATTGAGTTCCCCCAAGTCTTCACTACCCCTTTGTCTATTATTTTTTTTATAGTTTTGTTCTGCATTCCTTCCACTCAACCTCAAGTGGATGGAAGCCTGTTAGTTTATTACTTACATATGTCTGCACCCTTTTACCTCAGCAGGGAAAGACAAAATATCGAGGAGGACTGTAGGTTTGGGATGGTCAGCTAATCCTTCCCCACCTTGAACTAATCGCCAGGCTGATGTGTTATTGTGCTCAGCTCTGTTCTCCAGCGCATTGCCAGTGGGGTTTCAATTTGTAGAAGCATAAACAGATACTAAAGTAAAAAGAATGGTGCAGTGATTTGTTAGCAGAGTTCAGATCAAATTATCACAGCGGTCCCCTGCTGACAGTCCTAACAATTACCTCCTTTTTCTTGGTCTTTCAAATGTTTTCTGTTTCACTTAGGTCTTAGTAAATAGTGTGCTTCTCACTGTGCTTTATTTATTTACCTACAAAAGGAAAAGAAATTGAAACTTCAGCTTTCATTCAAATGTCTGTATGTCTATATATTTTGTCCTATCTTAGATGTGTTAATAACTTTTTGTTTTGTTTTGTTTTTAAATAAGTATATAGGCAAGGTAGCTAAAGATCAGATTTCTAGTGCATACCTCTTTTTATAACATTTTCTACCTCTTTATAGCTTTGATCATGGCAGTACAGATTTCCTTGATATTTGAAAACTTTTGAGAAAAGCAGCTACTAAATAGGAAATGAATAGAATGTTGTATACATGAAGCCAATATTAAGAGCTTAAAGCATTGAGTCCAATTTTGAAATCAAATTGGGTGCATGTCAGTAGATATTATTCCCTTCTCGCAGAATTTAGTCAGTTGATGCTCTGTACAAGTTGTTTAGAATTAACTTAAACATTTGTTTCTACTATTTTCTCTTCCCTATTTTCAACTCCCAACTTTCAGTCCTGCAGAGTTACATTTGTCTGCTTCTTACAATTCTAGTGGGATTGATTTATCATCATTTGCTAACATATCTGTCTCAAAATCTGAGCTTTGATCAGCTTGTATTTTATAACTTACATCTGTTCTATGTTTAACCTTTTGTAATGCTGTTTCTCAAAAATATTATCTAGTTTAACAAAAGAATCATGTTAGTCTAAGCATTTTGTTAAACCTACCTAAAGGAAAAAAAAATCCTACATATCTGTCTATTTTATTGTACTTTTGTTACTGATTCATAGTCTCTTTTTCATTAAATCTATAAATCTGTCACACCAACTTTTTCCTGTGGTTGCTGCTGAATTATAAACTTCACCTTCCTGTTCCTTCTCTACCTCTTCTTTCCCACAATTCCAGCTTGTGCTTTGCAGCAACAGCACCAGCAGCACCACTGCTCTGGCCTCTTTGCTGCTGCAGCATCCAGATCCAGCTTATAAAAAAGTAAATGTAGCGATTAAAAGTACTCCCACAGTGGGCTGCAGGGGACAGCAGGAAGCTTCTCCATTTTCAATAAAATGACTAAAACTAAAAATTTCCATCTGGGACTAACTGACATTAATCCTCCCACCGTGATGAGTCCTTGCAGTGAGAGAGATGAATAGTGGGTTTGGTGAAGCACAGAGACACATCTGCATGTTCTGCTGGTAGCTAATCTGTCTTCAAGAAAGGAGGTTTCATTTAAAAGGACTTACCTCCAGACTGGCTCTGTCTTGGATCACACTGGGTAATACTGGGACAAGAGTGAGAGATGCATGAAGAAGCCTTTAGAAAGTTGTCAGCTGTTCCCCAGCTTCTAAATAAATGAACCTTGCCTAGCATTGAGCAGGCTACTAAAACAGATGAAATCATGAAATCACAGAATCACAGAATAATGAGGTTGGAAGAGACCTCTAAGACCATCAAGTCCAACCTATGCCCTAACACCTCAACTACACTATAGCACCAGGTGCCGTGTCCAGTCTTTTTTTAAACACATCCAGAGATGGTGATTCTACCACCTCCCTGGGAAGACAATTCCAGTATTTGATTATTCTTTTGGTGAAAAATGTTTTCCTAATATCCAACTTAAACCTTCCCTGACGTAGCTTGAGGCTGTGCTCCCTTGTTCTGTCAGTTACTGCCCCGTGGAAGAGACCAACACCCACCTGTCTGCAACCTCCCTTCAGGAAGTTGTAGAGAGCAATAATAATGTTTTTCCTTGGGATTTTTTTGTCATCCTCTGATGTAAGGAGGGAAGTCAGCCCTGCTCTGCCTGGCTTCTGTGTAAGGGCCATCAGCAACGTGACACTGCCCAGGGGCTCAGGGAGAAACAATCTTGGTGCCAGAGCACCCTCTGACTTGTTCTGTGCACTAATGTGGCCACAACAGCTGCCTGAAAATAGCCCCAGCCATTCTCCAGCAGCTAAGAAGCTTTAAAAGTCCTTCTGGCTCAGTCCACAACCACAGATAGTAAATGCACGAACAGCTTGATCCTGACTGTATTGGTGTCTGGATGAATCTGGCCTGAGGGCCCAATCAGAGAAGAAATACCCACAGAAATCTAAGTAATTCCAACTCACATGTCTTTCCAAAGCAGTAGACAATTTTAATACAAATGGAAATTTTATTGGCATAGGGGCTAAACTCAGGCTTGGTTTAAATGGATTCGGGGGAGCTCTACTGGCTTGTAGCAGAGCAAATTTTGGCTTCAGGAGTGAAGATATAAAGCACTGAGAAGCTATGTATTTTGAGCCAGCAGGGACATTACAAAAGGCAGAAGGATAACTGGTATGACATCACTTCCTTCTTTTCCTTCTAAAAGATTATAAACTGTGGAAAAAGATTAGTTACTTTTGCTGCAGATAGCTTAGAAAACTTGGACAGGTATGTTTAATGTATTGAGTGGATCAGTGACAACAAATACACCTGTAGTGATTACTTGGAAACAAACCCCAAAGCATGGTCTCTTAGAAAATAGCATGTATAGTATAACCAGTGTATTTGGAGTATGTTTGGATAAAAGGAAAAAAAAAGTAGGATGACAGTCAATAAAAGGAGCAGTTAATGAATGAAAGGCAGTAGTAGAGCTGGAATCAAATAATAACATTTACTGCTCTTTGTCATTTGAGCCACTTCTTAAGAAAGGCAAGCAGCACTGCCCCTGCCTGTATGAAGGGAGATGAAGTGGCAAACCCAGGAACTAAATTTATTTTTTCTGGAACCCTTCCAGTACTGTAAATATAAGACTAAAGAGATGGCAGTTGACTATTCTCCTGCACCCAAATTCCTCTGCTATAAGTCTACACAGAAGATATTAATCCTATTTCATTGGTTTTTATCCTGGGAACTTGCAGAAACCACCCATTCTTGCCAAAATGTTTTATACAGGGAAATTCCTCTCTGGAGTTCCTGTTTACTTCACCATTCTTTCTAAGAAGATGTCAATATTGAGATAATTATACCAGACAGAACAGAAACACGCTGTTTTCCATTCTCAAATTGGCATTTAAAGGTGTTGAACATTTTACCTTATCTCAAGTAAGTTGCCTGGGTTAATTAATTTTTTGTTTTGAATGTGCACCAGCTACAGGCAGACCGGAACCTCATGTTCCTCAGCAACAACCACAGGTGACTTGTTGTTTGCATGTTGGTTTTTAATTTGGTAGCATACCTTCATATGCAACTCCTTTGAAGAAGGCAATAGAGAAGTACTGCCTGAGTTACAGAATATATCTTTTGCTCAAAGGAGATCACAATATGTTAATCTTTAAAAAATGCAGAAGCCTGTTAAAGATAAAAAACATAAACAAGTGTAAGGCACTTCTTTGACAAAGTCTTTGACAAAGGTCTCAGGTGTAGAGGGGTTAAAGTGATATCTTGTTCTTCTAAATATTTCGACAGACAGACTTTTGATTGCATTATCTATTAAAAAAATTGCTTTGAACCTGCCGCCAATGCAGACCACTTGTGCTTTCTCAAACTAACAAAGGTTCGGTCAACAGATAAGAATTTCTGACCGTGGAAGGGCAGCTGCTTTCCTTTCATCTTTCTCCTGGTGTGTATATGAAATGTTTGCTTAGCCTGGCCCTGCTATCATGAGGACTTTTTTTTCCTTAATCCTTCCTCTAATTTGAATCCTACACCCAGTCTGCAAATAAGACATGAAGAAAATTTAGATTTCAGCAGTGCGGGGTAATCCTGCTGGATGCTGAGTACTTCAGCCTCAGTTCAGCACAATACCTAGTCTTATCTGACTATACATATGCTTATCTGTAAGCCTAAACTTAAGCATATGATTAAATGCTCTGATTGGTTAGGACTAATGATCCTTGCTGAAGTACTAAGCCCTGGGAGGGAAGTTTGTTTTACAGGCAATTTTGCTGTTGTTTTTCTTCTGTTGTTACTTCTCACCAGAGAAGATAATTAAGGAAGTGTTTGTTTTAAGAGCACCAGAGCAATTTCTGTATTTTTTTAAATCTGATTCTTGAAAATTCACTTGTGACCAACCTTGTGTTTATTAGTCTTTTATTACATATTTTTCTTCAAAAGCAAACATGATCTCTAGAAATAGTGCCAACGGTATCCAGGTATGTATCTTCCTTCTCAAGAAGCCTAATCTATGTGCAATGCTAATGAGAAAAATATTAAGACAAAATGCGTAAAATTGCTTTCTAGAAAGGTTCAATCTATATGTAAATGTAAGGTTGAATACAAGAGAACTGGCTAACAGTATCCTGAAGGAAAGATGGTATTCATGTAGACTGGGTCATTATAAATGTATGCTTTCAGATGCTGCCTACTTTAACATTATATGGCTTCTTAATGAGAAAAAAAATTTGTTTTTTGTTTTACTTCCTTCTTGCCTCTTTCAGCCTGTCTCTCTCTCTCACTTTTCATTTTAGCCAGCTAGGCCTGGTGGAGTGAGCATTATCGTTAAATTGGGAAGTTTGAGTTGTTGATTCTTGTGTGACACCTGCAAAGGATGAGTGTAAGGCAGTAACAGGCCACCTAATGGTTTATGAGATTTTGACTTCCAAAGATGTTAATAAGGATCACTTGTCATGCCATATTGCTTGAAACAGTGTGGAAATCAAAGCTCAGAGGATATGTTTGAACAGGGAAGAAGCTGTCTTTCCTGCATGTTGCCTTCACAAGGGAGTTTCCTCAGGCAGACTGAGCAGGAGCCGATGAAGTTCAGTCTGTGCCTCTCAGTGACAGTGCACTGGCTGCTGCTTTGAGCACCAGTTCCTGAGCACCCAGCTCGGTAGCATCAGACTAGGAGACAGTAATGAAGGATAACAGCTTCTCACGTTTTATCCACAAGGAGAGGGATTTGTTATGAGCAAAGTGTCTCACTGTATTGCCTTTGTCATGCTGACCACCACAGTAAAGCTTACAAAGAAAGGAGTGGGGAGAGTTTGGAGACATGTGAAGGACAAGGCAGCAGTCAAACCTTACATTTTCTGAGGGCTGAGGGGATCTATTTTCCCTTGCAGGATTCAATTAAATTTTCTTAGCATTAAACTGCAAGTATTTTAAGCTACTGGCCTATGGAAGAGAAGCCATGTGCTTTCATGACACTCAAACTTTGATCCTAAGTTGCTGTAAAGCTCCAGTTCAGCAAAATGCTTGTGTGTGCTTGATTTTAAATACATGAATACTTACAGTGACAGAATGGTCAAGAGCAGCATGAAGTCCACTTTGCTTCACAGCTGAGCCAGTATGTAGCTTATGAGTAGGTTGTATTATCAGTCTAGGGCACCTATTTCTATACAACCCTGCCTTGGAAATGCCTTCCCTGGAACTGGTGGGATTTAAGTGCACACTTAATTTAGGAAGAGCAGAGGAAAGAATGAATATGCTTGGTTTATATGCAGTTTATCTTCTGGTGGCCTAAATAACTTCTCACATCCTTATTCAAATTCTTAGGGTGTTTAAATGTTTTTCCTTTCTGAGACTTTTCTGGAAACACTCTGTTGTTTCTTTCAAAAAGACATTCTGCTGTGCCTTTCAGATTTTTTTCTCATCTATGCAAATACTGAATAATAGCTGAGGTCCTCTTTCCTCATCTTTTATTGACTGAGGAATTTTTGTGTATCTTATGTAAAAACACTAATCTGTTTCTACAGGTTTTTACTCCAATGTCTTACACGTAAAAGTCTATGTGTGGCCATTTTCCAGATTTATGTAAATAATGAAATCTGAGATAATTCTTTCAATATTGAAAATTTGTATTATTCTGAGACAAAATCACTAGCAGGGAGTTAGAGGGAATGCAGGTCATCTTGTGCTGCTGACTCTGACATCTGTGGATGACCACCTCTGTGACAGAGGGGCCTGGACTTTTTCACGGGGGGAAATTTGGAATAATAGTCCTGATCTGGTACCAGTGGAACCAACAAGAGCTTGGTAATTCACTTCAGACCATGCAGAATCACAAACAATTGAAAAAAAAATAAATTGGGAAACCCAAATGTTTTAGAATTAAGTCTCCACAAAACAAAATTATTTCACTGGGTTTTTGGGGGGATTTTTTTTGTTGTTGTTTTGTTTTGGATGGGGTGATTTTTTTGTGTGAATTTTTTAATTTTTAAATTTTTGGGTTTTTTTAATCATCCTTTCTACCACTAAGCTTTCTCTGTAAAGAAGATAAATATCTGCCATGGCTTTCTTTGCATATTTTCCTTAACAGTGAATTTTTCATTGGAAAAATTGATGGTTTTGTGTTAGATTTATCTGTTGTCAAGGCTACTGTTGATGATATAACGTGGCTGTTATCTGCCATGTAAGGGGATTCTGCTGTTTATGTGTCAACAGCAACTGTAAGCCCTGTAGCCTGATTTCCTGTATTACACAGGTCACAGAATTTGATGAGGGTCACAGGAGGGACCCCATAATAGCTCTATGTATACAGAAGCAAAATACCAAGGGGAAAAATTATCATTGCGAGTATTAGTCAACAGTGTGTGGAGCTCATGCTGTTTTTTCGATTGCCTAAAGCATGGCTGTACCAGCAGGCATGGAGTTCTAGAGATGGCAAACCTTTAGGAAAAGGATTGGGTGGGGGTACTGTCTCTCTAGGGTTTGTAACTCTCTTTATAAATCCCCAGCCACACAGTGGAACATGGTCCATTTAACCACAGTGGCAAAATGTGAAATGCTGCCATTATTACCTCCAGACTTGTTGCATTTACTCACCAAGTCATGCATGCTCTCCCTAAGTGTTAGTGTTTGAAATAAGTTTAATTTCCACGATCACAAGACAGCATTTTGTTACTTTTGCAGCATTTCAGTTGCTGAGATGCATTTTGATTATACTGATCAAAGAGTCATTGAGCATTGGAAGTTCATATTGGCTGTGATTCTGCCTGACGTATTTTGTACTATGTCATGTCTAACTCTTTGTGATGATTAAACATTCATTTGCACAGACCGGGGTGCCTGACAGTCTTACATCATAAAGCACTTTATTCAGTGCAAATTGGGATTCAGTACGCTCCTCTGTGGGGGATTTTCCCACTAATGACATATGTAAATAGCACTCATTCATTCTAATTTTAAGGGGAAAGGTACAGAAGCATGCAGATCTCCTAATGAATCTGTGTTATACCTCAGATGAAAGGAAAACAAAGTGTTTTTCAGATGTTAATTTTGTTATCTGCACACTGTGCTCTCCTCTACTCCCCCAAAGTTGAGATACACAGAATCAGATTTATGGAGGCTTTATGTTCACAAAGCTGGTTTGTCAGAGAGGTACCCATGCATGTACACTTTCTGTGACAATATGGAATCCCTTCCTTCCATGAAGAAAAGGAAGAAATACAGCCATATTATTCAAATGCAAACCCTAATATATTGGGCCCTTCTTTGTGTGCATGTAAAACTTTTTGCCTGCTCTGGCTATAGCAGCATAACACAGAGTTTTAGCTAACAAAGCCTGCTGGCTTCTGTCACTGTGCTATACTGGTAGTTTTATGGCAGCATATGCAATGTAAGATGTGGACTTTCCCTTGAGGGGATAGCCCTTGTCCTCTACCATGCCTTGGATTTATTTAATAACATAAAGGTGCTTGGTTTTAAGACAGCCACAGCAGAAATATTTTGGTCTTAATGTTTTGTGACGGAGTTTTGTTCATTTTCTTTGGCATTTCATTCCTGGAGGCCTTTCTTTAGGTTTGTTTTCCCGTGGGCTTCCACAGAGCAAGGGCCCCATGGCAGCACCTCCCGGCTCTGTGCTCAGCCCCATCCGTGCCTGGGCAGCTCCAGGTCAGGGCCTCGTCTCACCAGGACTTAACAGCGTGTCTGCCAAAGCCAGCAGCAAAACTCTTCTGCCTGCAAAATAAGAGGGGCACAAATAAGCCCCGATGCCCCTAATGACTGTGTTGCTCCCAGCTGTGCTGAGGCAGCCAGTCAGTGAGAGAAGGGGACACTCATGAGAGAGGGGGACACTCCTGACTCTTACTTAATTCACTTTAAAAGAGATTGAGGTGTCTGTGTGAGTTTTGCCATTTCCTTCTTGTGAATTGGAGAAAAGCAATAAGTTCACATTGAATAAAAGATTTTTTTTCCCTTTCTTTTTTAGCCAAGACTTAAATGTTTGCATTAAAAAAATAAGGAAGAACCAGCAGCTTAGTGCTGTTTAACCACTATAGGCAGAACAGTTGTGAATGATACTCTTTTATTTTTTGCTGTGAGGAATGAGTGGTGCTCCTTCATATCTGTGTTGAGCTAAACTCGATGCAGACGTTGGCCATAAATGGGTCAGGCAGTCATTGAAGTGAGCAGTTGGCCACATTTGTGCTAACTCTAGTATTTTTGGTGTTTGCCAGAGGAAAAAGAATTCTAATTTCTATCAGTCTAAATTGTGCTGGGCAGCATTATCAGCTGGAAAGACCTCTCTGATTTGACAGGCACCACTGTATGATGATTAATTACTACTCAGCTTCATTGGACTTTTCTAATTTCCTTTTGCCACTAGCTGTAGGCAACAAGCGATAAGTACTGCTCTTATTATTTTGTGCAAAGGAAAATGTCTATTACTGCTCTGTCCTACAAGTAATCAGAATAAAAAGACAGCTGATTGGAAAACCTGTGAGGATCATTCTGTCTTTATTTATCCTACCCTTGCTTTATTCCTGTGCTGCTTCTACACAGAAGTTGTTTTACACAGTTGCCTGTCAAAATAAGAAGATAAAATCATAAGCTCTATCAAAGTAGTTGACATTTTGAAATTTGTATAATGATTTCATGGGAATTAATCCTCAATCTCCAAATAAATCCTTCTCAAAATGCTAATATAACTAGGAATTTTATACCACAGAGTGTAAAACAATTCTTAATCTTCCTTTTCTATTTTACCTTAAATTTATTACATTAGTAGCCTGTCTTGTTGAGAAAAATTATAGCATTATTGCCAAGTGCAAGGAGAGTAAGTACTTTACATAACACATTATAATAATGATTTTATTGAGACACTGAATGCTCTGAAGTATACCAAGAAGAAGCTATACTACTAAGAACTTGTCAAGGACTTCACTGCTAGAGATAAAAATCGATGCTGGCAACTCTTAAATCTTTGTTCTAAAGAATCTTTTCAACTCATTAGGCAGATTCCAGGGAATTAATTCCAGGAGAGCCATCTGAGTTGCTTCTATGCATTTAAGAGATGCCATAGAATTTACTTTCAGGATGAGGATATTAATGCACACTTACTAACAGCAAAGCATGTCTGCACAGTGTGTGGGAATGCTGTGCCAGGATAGAGGTGGGTATAATTGTAGTAAAGTTATGGGCTGTCTGGACAAATTACCTAAAGATGCAACTTCTTACCTGTAGATTTAGCTGGAGCTTCAACTTAAAAGTTCACCCAGTCACATCTGACAGGCTGGATGTCCTTATCTGCAGCAGGTCTCTTTTCAGAATGTTTTCCCACTTAGGGATTTAGAAATAAATGGAATCCTTGATTCTAAATTCTGTGCCACCCTAGAAAAGGGACCTAACTAATCTGTTTCAGATGCACCTGAATGTTACTCTACTTTTTATTCTACTTTTGTGAAAGGATAGAATATTGATACACAAGAGAAGGCACATGAAAAGTCTTCAAGGGATTGCATTTATCTTGTTTCTGTAAGACTTTTTGTTCTGGATGATTCAAAAAGTTTCCTTCTGATTAGGTCCTCCCTGCACTTTTTGCATACTGTTAGAACCTCAGGTGTTTACATGGTCGGATCTGCACAGCTTCCACGGAGGGAGTCAGGGGACATGTGTGAAGCTGCAGTTGTTTTGGGTTCTGATTCTGTTTTCAAACTGAAATTGAAGATGTTAGCAAGATTACCCTCTTAAAAAAACAAACAAACAAACCCCCAAAAAATTACAAACCACTTGGTTTGAGACTTGGAAATAGTGTGGGAGGCTCTTGTCCTGAGGCACCTCCCATCAAGAGTGCACAGCACTTATTCAGCCCATCCTTTCTGAGGATGTAAATTCCAGGCCTAATGCAGTCTTTGTAAATATGGATGGCCTTTGTGTGGAAGATGTATACTGCTGGCAAGGGGGAGAGAAGGCATATTTGCATGCAACTTTCACATCTGCTGCTGAACCCAAGAGCCTGATTAGTATCTGCATTCCTTTCCCCAAATAAACAGAGAAGCAAATGGCTTGCAGATCTGCTGAAACACCTCTTCCTCTGTCCACAGCCCTTTCTAGCCTCTTCCTTAGGCCTCTGCAGGGTGGCACTCAATGATGCTGAGAAGACAAGAGGTGCCACATACATCTGCTTTTCCCTGGTCACTACAGGGACAGAAACTGAGCTCCGGACAGAAGGGCTGGGAAATGATGTCAAGGTGGCTGATCCAGAGCAAAGATTCCAGACCACTGACAAGGAGATGGTTCGGCTTGCACATGCTCAGCATACTGTGATTCAGGACATTGAGCAGAGTTATTTTTTCACCAGATGTAATTACTTTCATTTTTGTTTTGCAGCCAACAAAAGTAAATGTATTGGCAATGTATAGGCAGCATAGATGCCAGTGCTGTTTTGCTTGACACAACCAGAGCATTGTTATTCACTGTAAAGTGCTTGTGATATTGTTACCAGACTGGTAGCACTGCTGTAATAGGGACTTCATGTAGTTAATCTAAAAGGGACTGGATTATATTCTTTCCTCCTACTTTATCCCCTTCAGAATCTGGTGGTTATTGTTCTCTTGGTTTAGGTTAGTCCACTCTCATCAGGAAGGAACAAGGAGCCGAGTGTTTCACTTGAGAAAAATATTGCAGCTCAGACCACTGTACTACAGTAAAAAATACCTTGTATGACTGTTGAAATATATAGTATTATTGGCAGCAAATCAAAGGTTAATGAATATCTCAACAGGTATTGTGAAGCACTCTTTACCTGCTGATCTTTCCAGTGGAAATACCATATTCTAGACCTGGCTGCAGTATAAAGCAGAGCATACTCCTCCAGCAGCTGTAATTGTGGTATCCTGTTCCATCATTATAATCTGAATAGGATAGCACATTCAGAGTTTGTTCATTCATTTAGAACGATAATAACTGCTTTGTAGAGATCTGGATGACTGAGGTACATATATACATTAAAGAGCTTATCCTGGGGTCATCAGCAACTATTAAGCAAACTGGCTTCTTTTAACAAATAAGGTGGAACATTCATCTACTGTTGACAGACACAAATTTTCTCTTGTGTTCATGGATGAGTCACTGTGCAGTTTTGTCTTGCCATCTGTATCTTTGTATACTTAAACAAGGTTGGGTGTGTTCCAGAGAAGTGTCAAAAAGCAACACCAAGCACAGTGATAACAAGACAGGCAAAATTTCTGCATCCCTTTGACAAAAGGGTCTGCCCCAAGCACTAACAGTTCCCACAGGGGGTGGGAAGGAAGTGGGAATCTGTCCTGCCTGCCTAGCATGGCTCTGCAGCTGCAGGAGAGGAGATGTGCTGCTCTATCACCTCAGGAGCCCCGGGGAGGTTATGGCTCCTGCAGGCACAAGGACTTGTGTTTCTTCAAGTGCAGTGTTGGTCTTGGCACCACCAGGACCTGCTACTGCTGCTGTTGAAACATCCTCCTGAGGTTCAATGAGTTCATAGTGTTCAAGGTCAGGCAGAGAATAACTCCATGTCAAAAATAAGAAAAAGCAGGTAGGCTCTATTCCTGGTGATGCCTATCACACTGTTTTGCTGTTTTATCAATATTTTAATAGATTCAAAAATATTATCCTTTCCTATGTATAAAAGGAGGATCTTTCAGCTCTTTCTAGGATATTGCTTCTACTTTTCTACACAGCTATTTGCCACAAACCTGATTTTCCTGGTGATCAGTAAAATAGTGGATGTTGTAGTCTTATTGACACA